ATGATCTTTTTACGATGATTTAATATCAACCTTCCAGCGGTAAAAACCGCGTAAATGCGTTTCGCGGACTGCGCACGCACGGCCATGCAAATCCCATCTGATTCGTAACCGCGAGAAACGCGAAAAAAAAACTGTATCTCGAACGTTGGTTACTGTAATTAACAGTCGTTTGAATCGATTATAAAACGCGATCGAAAACAGAGTGGCTCGTCGTTTTGCCGGTGAACGCGTACCGTGCATTCAGAAGTAAATAGAGAAATTACGAAACCCGCCTCGTTGCACAAGGATCGGACACTAAAACGAAACAATATTAAACATCGCATTAGAATTCCTCCGCGATACCACGTATACTCTAATTCCACGAACGATCTCGGTCGACATTACCACGGTACTATCGCCAATAATTACCGTCGATATCTAAATATTAATCCAGACTAAACGTCGACTTTTCAATCTCCCGTTCACATTCCTCGAACCCGTGCAAACGCATCGAGGACTTCTCTCCGAAACGAACAAAAGAATCTTCTCGAGAATCATACCCCGAAATCTGCCAATCGATAACCGAACGCACCGCAATTAACCGGTCCCCACCGCTAATCGGGTTAAGAGTTTCTCGCCGTTCCATTAATGTGCCATTTCGTCCAGACGAAGCCACTAAAAATGGCCCTAAAGTCAGCAGATAAAAAGCAGTCTCCGCGGCCGTGTGATTACGGCGATCGTCGGGATGACGAAGGATTTTTCCTCGAACGACGTCGGGGCCCGCGTTCCCGGCCGCGCAGAAATGGCAAAACAGAGACGAAACCGCCATCGGCCTCCCGGAGGCGAAGTTCTGCTCGGTGATTTCGCCGCGACCGCGGAGAGGAGAGGCTTCTTCTTCTTCTTCTTCGAAAATACAGTTACTCTGGCCGGCGATCTAGCGCCGATCCGTTACGTAACACTCCGTGGAAACGCTCGTTCTCGTGTCTGCCCTCTCTTTCTCTCTCTTTCCTCCCCTCTCTCTCTTTTTCTCTCTGTCTCGCTCTTTTTCTCCGTCCCTCTTTCTCTCTCCGCCTCCGTCCGCCGCGCACGGAGAGAACGCGCGTTACGTGCGGTTTCCGTAAATTGCTACGTGCAAACCAGCCAGCCGATCCTCGAGCAGACGAGCCGAGCCGAGCCGAGGGACCGGCGTTCCTCGCAACGTCCACGGCCGCGGCGTATCCCTTTGACGCGTCCCGTGGAAATAACGCTTCCCTTGAACCCCTTCGCAGGTACTTACACCCCGTTGCTTCCCGTGGGGGTTACACGGAAACGCGTGCTCACGCGAAAATCGACGGGACTCACGGAAACCTGCACGCGTTTTAAATTATCTCGTTGATTGTGCTGTTTGCCGGGCTATCTCGGGGAACGTGCAACTAGGCCTGGGGTATTCTTCGGGGATTGAGACATTTAGGTAATTGAAGTCTGGTCTGAAGAAATTTCGGGCTAGTTAGTTATTTTCAGGAGGCACGTTGAAGTTTCTGTGAAGATAATATGCTAACGAGTGATCCGCGTCAATGGTGTCACAATTGTAATTGTCTATTAACTCTTTCGAGTTAGGTGCGTTAAAAACTGCCCTATCTTTAGCTTTCTATGCATAGTGGGATATATTTTAACCCACCTTGAAAAGGTGAAGCTACTGATACTCGTAGTTTAATATTTAACTGTAAGTTCTCATCCAGTCGGCAATCCTATGAACGGCAAATGCGTAATGCAGTGAGAACAATTTATAGAAATCAAAACGCATCGGTATGTCGAGACTGTTGTGATGAAGATTGACGAATTCTACAGTATACCGAATTCTATGCAGTTTGGATAGTTTTCTTCTTTAAAGCCGCATTTCCTCAAAGAGTTAAGCGAAGCACAAATTCACTGAAACCCATTCTTCCGTCAACTTCTATGAATCAACAATGGAGCCATCGGTCTCTAGTCATTTGTAGTTTCGCAAAATGACACGGTGGTATCAGCATCCGATGAAAATATTCGATACAGTTGAATGGACCCCATCGCGGCGAGGGCCCAGCGAATCCACGAACGTCCCGAATCGGCGTCGGCGTTACGGCACCGGTCCGCCACGGTAGTCATTACACGAATTAAATAATAGTCGGTATAATTATTTGGAAAGTTTACGGCGAAATGTATGGGTCGGCCCCGTGGCAGAGGCTTTTAATTACAAGCGGCTGCGAATGCTTCCCGGGGATTACGCGCTCGTCGCGGGGCCCCCTGAGGTGGGTAATTAGCTGATGTTTAGAAAGCCGATGTCTATCGATGACGCTTTGAATCTGGGACGAACGTTTAGGGAAACCGGAATCGTCTTCCCATTGTTCACCTGGGAATTCGATTCGAGACGGCGGACAACGCTACCGCCGGTAAACCTGTAATGAATTAAAATTGCCGGTTACGCGGCTGCCTCCGTGTAAACACAAAGCATTGATTTAAACGCGGGGGGATTATTGTGATTACAACAATTTATTGTTTCACAGAGACGGGGATGGCGGCGTGTTGCTCGCGCGGAGATATCGGTGGCGACACCTCTTCGCCGAGCTGCCAACACGGTCCTCCGCCGTAGACTTCTGCTGCCATCTCTTATAGAGTCCCGTAAACTGCAAGTTTATTCGACGGAGTTAGATAATTATTAATCAATTTGTAAACGCGATTATCGGTACTGTATTTATATGTCGCTCGATGTAATTATGGCACAGAATTATGTACAGTGTAATGACCGTGCTGCTGATGAGGCTGATGGTTATAAACATTCAATTAATTTGTATGAATAACGAGTCTTATTTTATTCGGATCGACGTGTTCGTTGAATAATATATTATCGTTTTGTAAAATTAATTTTTACTTGATCGCTTGATACCATGTTTCATTTAACTAGACCCCTTTCGTTTCCCCCGTAGAATCAATAATCGTTCATAAAATACAAAATTCATTTGCGGAATGTGTCTAACAGCCAGAAGGAGCAATGATTTATTATAAATTTATACAATAACCAGATTGGAATGCCGACGCTTATCGACGGTAGATGAACGCCTGCCTTCCCCGAAGGCCCCCATAAAGTGATACCGGAGTAACTCCTCCTCAAACCATTCCACCCGCGCATCGGCCAACACGTGTTGGAAACGATCACGTGGCTCATCGAAGCACTGCCCCCTCATTATCATAACCGCTTCTCGAGTGCAAATCCTAAGTCGGTTCTAACGAGAACTCCCGCTCGTGACGTCCCCGGGGCCGAATCGCTGCTAGGATGGCGTGAAAACACGATCCACTGTTTTCTCTCGTAAGATTTCTCGAATTAGGAAGGTAAATTCCCCCGCGTCGGTGTCCGCTTTACCTTTAGAAACTTTCGAACGATCGACAAATATCTTGACTAATTTATAATACGCCTGAAACGAATTCCATCGGCGTGCGACGCTGGGTTCCGTCGTGCCTCGCGTTCCTTTTCTTCCCGAATCGACGAGTATTACACCTGGCTCGTGTATCGAACTGTGCACGAATATCGCAATAAAACGAGCGAGTTAAACGCACAGAGTTTATTTGGTCAGCAGTTACCAAGGTTCTCTCGTGAAAAGAAAAGGGGTGGTTCCGGCCACGCGGCTCATTCGATGCACGTCCGCATTATTATATGACCCCTTTCGCGTCACATTCCTTTTATTTTTTTTTCGCGTGGCACGCGCGATCGATAATCAGCAATTATGCGAGAGTCGGCTGTCATGCCGTGCGTACGCACACGTTTCGAGCAACATCTAGGAAAATTATCTTCCGCACGACAAGCGAAACGGGGAACTGCAATTTCGTGATAACGCGGCTCTTCTGAGGACTGACACACCGGACAATCTAGTCTTTCTTTGTGCGCGACATGTGCTCTCCGCTGGGCCGACGGTAGCAGGTGACCGGCCATTTTGACGGAAATTATTGAAATCGGCAGCCGACATCGGGGCGAGGCAGATAATTTTCGAAATTAATATGAGAACAACGGCCACGCTAACAGTTTAGCTCTCTCGGTATGCAAGCTGTCGTTCGTACGCAATTGCCGTTAAGTAAGTAATTGACTTTTATTATTACTTTATTATTACGCGGAACATTGTAGTTTACGATGCTACTTTAACGAGGCGCATCAATTATTTATATCAGCTGGTTCATAGACTATTCAATGAGGCAATACGAATGCCTGATTAAATGTCTTCTGTCGCAGTCCAGTGATTGATCAATTATTATTATAGGTTATCGACGACTCGGGTAATTAACGATCGTAGGTACATTAACTTCGATCGTTCATAAAGTTTCTCCACTTTAATGAACTTCTTTATATGTACCGATACGAAATATATGAGGATTAGAAGCAACACTGAACTCGATACAATCAAATCATGCCTCCGAGCAGCTCGATTCTCCTCTCCGACAGATGCGACGAGAGTGTCAGTCGGTCGCTTTCTTTTCACGAGCCGCGATCGATCAGTCGAAGACACATGCCAACGCATCTGCCACAACGACGAGAATCTACAGATTTTACAGTCCGTCCATTGGCTACTGTCCCGTGGCCGGTGCTGGCAATTTGACGAACTACACGCGTACAATCGACGGAAAGTTAAGGCGGCGAGGCTGATAATCACGAGGAACGAGGAGGAATGCGATACAAAAATCATCTTTGACTGTTTTGAGATACGTATCACCG